GCTGGATGGAGTCCCTGAAGCAGTAGGCCTGAGCTTAAAGGGACTCCAGAAGATGGTAGAGGACAGGAAGGCCTGGAGGAACGTCGTCCATGGGGTCCAATGGGTCGGACACGACTTTGCAACTAACAACAACAACATGAGCAGAGGTGGGATCAGAAAGCACAGCCTCCCTGTCCAGAGAGAAGAAAGTCCTGCAGGAGTTTTCTCTCCCACCTTTCCCGTGCGGCTGCTTATAAACGTTCTTTGTTTTATTTTAATTTTAGTCGCAGTTTGCTGACTTTTCCCAGGCCGTTACCTTTCCTGCTTGACAAGCAGGCTGTGGTGGGAAACTGACAAGAGGTTGTGGGTGTGAAGCTTGACAGATTTCCCCCTCCCGATTTCCTGGAGGAGCTGGGAAGTTGTGAGAGCTGATAGATAAAACACGGGGTCCCGCTTTTAACAACCTTCAAATGAATGTACGTGTTTTAACGCTTTTGTCTTATTTTTTTGCCCAGATAGCATTTTGTTTCCATGGAAGCAGATCTGGATATTGACAGCTGAAAATACCGTTGGGTTCTAGTAACTCTTTTCTTGGGGAGAGTTTCTTTGGGCCAAGAGCTATTTAGGCCATCTCTCCCTAGTGTTCATATTCAGTTCAATGGGAAATCAAGGGCTGTGTAGGAAATGATCAGGCTGAGCCAAAGGCAGAGTCAAACACATCATTAGTTTGGAATCTCTACTCCCCCATAAGAAACCAGCCCCCCTTGAATTCCATTGACTCTTATCTGGAACTAATTTAATGATGATGATGATGATGATGATGATGATGATGATGATAACAACTTTGGAAGGGATCTTGGAGGTCATCTAGTCCAACTCCCTGCTCAGGCAGGAAACCTTATACGATTTCAGACAAATGGCTGTCCAGTCTCTTCTTAAAAATTTCCAGTGTTGGAGCATTCACAGCTTCTGGAGGCAGGTTGTTCCACCGGTTAATTGTTCTCACTGTCAGGAAATTTCTCCTTAGTTCCAGGTTGCTTCTCTCCTTGGTTAGTTTCCATCCGTTGCTTCTTGTCCTGCCTTCCTGCAACCATTCTTCATATGTTTTAACCTCCAGCTCCCTAAAGTGGAGAACGACATGGATTATCATGCTACAAACATATCTCCATTCTCCTGGAGAAACACTCTTGTTAGATATCCTGGAGATTCATTCAGGGTGGACCTGCATAGGATTGCCCGCCCTCCAAGCATATCAGCAGCCGATGGTGCCATTTTGTGACCATCCTCAATAAGAGGTTGGTAGAAATAATCAGGAAGAATCTACCCTGCATCAAAAGATTTGGATCTGTGTCTTCTTTGCCCATCGTTGGAATTCCAGCTTTCCGTTGTGTGGAAAGTCCCACTTTGCGCCACGTAGAACTTTTCTCTCTCCTTCAGTATTGCTATTGCTTTTACTATTATTACTACTATTGTTATTTAATTAAAAAGACATCATTAAATGTTGGCGGTCTTCCAAACATAGGCGAGGGCTTACTCTGTGGGTCAGTGTGAAGTTTGTTTCTTGAATTTACCAGCAGGAGGAGCTGCCGTATTGAAGAACAGCAGTGGGTGTTGAGTAAATAACTTCCCTTTCTGGACCTTAGATTTTTTGACTTCTCACTCTGTCCCTGCTTTTTGTTCGTTTGTTCTTTAACCCTAGAGTCTCTTGGCTAGGTAAAAGTGCCCTAGTTCATTGTGGCCCCGTCAAAATAGATCTGGGGTTAGCCTAGTCACTACAACGTGACATCTCAGCCCTAGCTTCAACTGTCTAGTCTTGTTCAAGTGCCTCAATATTACCATCTCCTTTCCTTAATGCTTAGTCATATCTTCAGAAGGATCAGATACATTTGGAAAACTGAAAGAAATCTCTCGGTTTAGGAGAGTTTGAATTAGGACTCAGGTCCTTGATTATCTGTTTATCTACTACTCTGTTCTTTCCTGATCTGGCATTGGCTGCTAAAAATGTGTTGTGAACTTTGTTTCCTTCTTTGACTTTGGGTTGTATCTTTTTTTTAAAAAAAATAGTATGTGGGGTCCTTGGTGCTCTCTGCGCTTGTTTTTTTGCAGACATTTCATGACCCAACTAGGTAACATCATCAGTGCTAGAAGGGAGTGGGGTTTGTGCAATGGAAGAGAAGAAGGAGCAGGAGGAGGAGGACTGTGGGGTCCTTGGTGCTCTCTGAGCTTGGCTGTTTTCTTGCAGACATTTCATGACCCAAATAGGTAACATCATCAGTGATAGAAGGGAGTGGGGTTTGCGCAATGATGGAGGAGGAGGAGGAGGAGGAGGAGGAGGAGAAGGAGGAGGACAATGACTGTGGGGTCCTTGGTGCTCTCTGAGCTTGGTTGTTTTCTTGCAGACATTTCATGACCCAAATAGGTAACCTCATCAGTGATAGAAGGGAGTGGGGTTTGCACAATGATGGAGGAGGAGGAGGAGGAGGAGGAGGAGGACAATGATTGTGGGGTCCTTGGTGCTCTCTGAGCTTGGTTGTTTTCTTGCAGACATTTCATGACCCAACTAAATAACATCATCAATGGTCCTTGGTAGGGGCATTGTTTATTGTTTATCTGGGTCTTGATTGCTGATCAGGAGGTGTTGTGGTCTATTAGCTTGCTGATTGTCTCTTTTGAACAGTATGTAGATGTTGTTTATCTGTTTGTGCTTGCTGATGGCTCATTTGTTTTGAGTACCAGCAATGTCAGTGGAACATCAAGGAGCCACCAAAACCATTCCCAACAACACTGGCAGGGCAAGCCACTTGTACATAAACAGAGAGCAAACCCCACTCCCTTCTAGCACTGATGATGTTACCTAGTTGCCTGCACTGCCAGGTGCAAAAAAAAAAAAGGTTCAATCAATCAGTCAATTTCAACTTCTCGCTGGAAAAAAAAGATCTTGCAAAGTTGGAATTGATTGATTGAACTTTTTAGCCCCACCCAGTCTGCCGTTACCACCGCAGCCACACCCACCCAATGGGCCACGGCCACAAAATTGGCCACACCCACAATTGGCCACACCCACACAATGGGCCACGTCCAACCGGCACCAGACGATACACAAATGGGTTTTGGGTTGCAGTTTGGGCACTCGGTCTCTAAAAGGTTCGCCATCGCTGGACTAACTTTACTTAAATACTGTAAACTGAGCTGGAGTTAATTTCCCCCCCCCCCCACATACAATACTGCAATTCAAATACTTGTATGGATAACGGATATTGAAATGAATATACCAATTGGAATCACACACATTGATATTATAGAGTGGTTTTTTTTCCCCTCCCTGGAAAAAAACCTAATAAATAAGCCGAATTTCTCAGGATACTAATGCTGGTGGCTATTGCCTAGTTTCAATTATCATTACACGCAGTTCATTATTCTGCTCCTGGTTCTTCAACTGTGAATTGTGAAGATCCCGCAAAGCCATTATAAAAAAAATAATAATAACTATCTCAGAGTTTGCAATTCTGTTGGCTGTCAATCTGTTTTAAATTAAGGAGCAGCTGGTAGGCTGTTCTGCTTCTGGATTATCATGAGAATCCCAGAACATTGTTTATCGATGAATATGGTTTATGAGCACGGCTTCAAAAAAACAACAACAACAACAAAAAGAGAAGTCTTGCTTTGGTAACATTTGTGTTCCATGCTCCATCAGAAGCAGGACTAGTCTCCTGAGCTAAATGTACCAGCTGCTTTGCAGTAATCCAACACACAAACATGTTGGAGTAGTTTGCCTCCTGGAGTTGTGGGTGCTCCATCGTGGGAGGTTTTCAAAAATAGACTGAACAACCATTTGACTAGGATGATTTAAGGTCTCCTCTCTTGAGTAGGAGGTTGGAGTAGAAGACCTCCGAGGACCTTTCCAGCCTTAATAATAACAATAAAGTTGGAAAGGATCTTGGAGGTCATCTAGTCCAACTCCCTGCTCAGGCAGGAAACCCTATACCATTTCGGACAAATGGCTGTCCAGTCTCTTCTTGAAAACTTCCAGTGTTGGAGCATTCACCACTTCTGGAGGCAGGTTGTTCCACTGGTTAATTGTTCTCACTGTCAGGAAGTTTCTCCTTAGTTCTAGGTTGCTTCTCTCCTTGGTTAGTTTCCATCCGTTGCTTCTTGTCCTGCCTTCAGGCGCTTTGGGGAATAGCTTGACTCCCTCTTCTTTGGGGCAGCCCCTGAGAGATTGGAACACTGCTATCATGTCCCCCCTCGTCCTTCTCTTCGTTAAACTAGACATACCCAATTCCATCAACCTTTCCTTCTATGTTTTAGCCTCCAGTCCCCTGATCATCTTTGTTGCTCTTCTCTGTACTCTTGTGATTCTATGATCTATGATGGAAAAAAAGACTGGTTTTATTATTATTATTTTTCCAGGTCCTTTCTTCTCTCGGGGGAGGGGGGGTAGCATGTCAAGACTGAAAATGTGGCAGCTACATGCCTTATTGTGTTCATCTGGTCATTAGAGTAAGGGGGGAGGCTTTGGATGGGTTAGTTAGAGAAACGAAACCTCTCCAGTTCTGCAGATGTTTCTTGAAACATAGATGTATAGAAATTTGTCGAGGACATTCTAACCATGGTGAAGAAGATAGCAGAAGGTTCTCCAAATGAGAAGGTGTTTACATGAATGACGTGGACCTCTGGGAGGCTTGGCTGGGAGTGTCATTGTTTATATGCTTTGGTTAGACATCTTGGGATTTTAGAGTTGGTTTTCCTTCACCAATGCCAGGGGTGGGGAACGTTGGCTCTTTTATGACTTGTGGACTTCAACTCCCAGAATTCTGAATTCAAAATTCTGGGAATTGAAGTCCACAAGTCGCCAAGGTTCCCCACCCCTGGCCTATACCTTGTCATGGAGTCCATTAATCAGTAAGATCCTCAGATATGAAAGATCTTACTGGTTTGGGCTTTATTTGGATACTCAAGCTGGAGGTTGACAGCACCATCCTGGACGTTTGTGCTCATAACTTATCTCTTTCCATTCTTAGGGACTTCCAGCCTGCAGGAGAATCGGCCACCAAAACCAGTTACCGGCGGGCCACCCCCCACTTCCCAAGGCTGTCTCGGAACCACACCAGGGAATCCCGCAATCCGGAACCTCAAAGTGGTGACCTTTGACCTGTGACCCCTGCAAGGACCTGGTCGTGTAGGCAGCCGTTGAGTTTGCCCTGAGGATCCAAGTCTGTGTGAGGCGACGAGAAGCAGCCAACAACGGGATGGAAGCGATCCTCCGAAAAAATACCGCCCTGTTGAAAGGCTCCGTTGCCCACAATTGAACAAGCCACCTTCGGAGTCCCAGTCCTTTCCCAAAACAGGGAGGGCTCTCTTTTGCCCCAGGGCAGTGTTTTCTGCTCTTTAAGTTGTGTGAACTGCAACTCCCAGAATTCCCCAGCCAGCCGTTCCTCGGCTGGGGTACTGGGGTACTCTGGGAGTTGAAGTCCACCCATTTTAAAATTCTCAAGATGGAGAAATACAGCGAGAGAGGGAGGGAGAAAAAAGGAAGGGAGGAAAGAAAGGAAGGAAGGATCGAAGAAAGAAAAAGAAAGAAAGAAAAAGAAAAAAGAGAAGGAAAAAAAAGGAAGGAAAGAAAGAAAGAAAGAAAGAAAGAAAGAAAGAAAGAAAGAAAGAAAGAAAGAAAGAAAGTTTCCATTTTCTTTGATTAATCCCATAAGCACCATAGCTCCTTTTTCATCTGTGAGAGTTTTTATACATCTTACGATGGTGATACACTTTCCTCTGGAACCAGAATTGTTGTCCTCACCTTCCAGATTCCTCAGAATGACGTTTCCCATAACTGCACCTATAGTGAGCATTATCGAGCTATTTATTATAAGCCCTCCTCTCCCCCCCTCCCCACTACCCTTTATTTTTGCTCTCTTTTTTCTCTCCCACGTTGGAGCAGTAAGAAGCAACAGGGGGACGGTTTTCATGTTTCTCTGCCATTCATCCCCGATCTTGTCAGGCCAAAACCACCGATTCATTGATGAATCATCTTTGCTTTGATGTTAAGGCCGTTGTTTGACATTCATCATTCTTTTGTTGAAGTGGAATTATTAACGATGAGCCAGGAGGGGGAGGGCCCCCCCCGGGAAAAAGCTTCCCGAGCAGAAACTTTCCACCTGTTTGCTTGAACTTCTACTATTGATTTTTTGGGGGAGCATGTTAACTAAAAGGCCTCTCTCTCAGCATCAGAATAAGTGGACCGCTTCAGGCCGTTCTTTTCATCCTCTTAAAAAAAAAGAAAGAAAGAAAGAAAGAGAGAGAGAGAGAAAGAAAGAAAGAGAGAGAGAGAAAGAAAGAAAGAAAGAAAGAAAGAAAGAAAGAAAGGAAGGAAGGAAGGAAGGAAGGAAGGAAGGAAGGAAGGAAGGAAGGAAGGAAGGAAGAAAGAAAGAAATGGAAATCAGCTTAGCAAAGACTTCAAAAAGGAAACAACCGGGGCTCGTCCCCATGAACTGAAAGGTTTTCTCGTAAAAATGACTCAAAGGGTCCAAAGAGAAGCGATGGGACAGCTGAAGGGGAAAATGGAGCCCAGTTCACTCAGAACAAACACCCTACGCTTGCCTAGGCTGTCGATCATAACTCAGCTCTTCTTCCTCTCTCAAGACCCTTCTCTCAGCGCTTAGCAAGGATGAAGTCTACCCTTCCTTGAAAGAGCATCCACGTCTCCAAGTCAATATTTAAATAGGGTGCACCTCTATTTTATTCTATAATGGGCTGACCCTCCCCTTGTTGAATAACAAAGCAGTTTCCCAGAAAAGCATCTGCATGCAGATAGGTTTTTTTTTGCACTCTCCCTGTTTCCAAATAACGGACGGATTCACGAACGGTTGAGCAAGCTGGTAGTTAGCTCAAAAGAGCATGGAGTAATCAACTGTTGGGGAGTTAGATCCGTCTGAATGAGCACAAATCAGCGAGACTTAAGTGTGAATGACGACGAGGAACTGGGTGGGATTCCTGTCCAGTGTTGATTGCGCTGGCCTTGTGGATAATCCCCCAAGTTTTGGGGGCAGCCGCATCGCAGCTGAAATTGAGACGAGATGGATTTTACTAGGTGCTCGGCAATGACTCGTTTTGAGCATGGCTGAACAATGAAAATTTTATCTTTGCATTCTTATTCCCCTTCCTGTTTTTTTTCCCAACGGTAAGACCTGCCAGATCTTTTGATCAGAAGTCTCCGCCAAGGACTTTTGTTTCCTCAAATCCTACCTAGATCAAAGGAAGTTGGAGAAAGCCGTCACGGGAGCCAGTCAGAATTTGACTCAGGAACATAGAAGGAGGTTATGTTGAAGGCGCGAGGCTATCAAGAATATCTCTTTTTTTAAAAAGGAAAAGAATAATGTGGCCAATGAGGCATTAGCAGAAATCGCATTAAGAGATGGTATTCTGTTAGGACTTGCATGCCAAGAATGAGGAATGGGGAAAAGCTGCTAAAATGGGTGGGAGAAATCACCTGTTCCCAAGCCATCAAATCTGCATTCTTAGCTCCTTGGAAGTTCCTAGCTTTCCATTTTTTGAAGGCTGGGCGGGCGGGCAAGAGATTGTATGTCTTCTTCTAACCAAGCAGGGCTGTGGACAGGGATCGATACAAAAGAGGAGGGATTTCGTAGCGTGCCTAGAGTGGCTTTGCTGCTTAGCAATAAGTGGCTTTTTCATATAATTCTCACAGGCCAAAGCATGCCATTGTGTTGTGCGAATTCAAGCTTTGGGGCCCGTCCCGTTGATTACAGTTGGACTTAAGCCGTGGAGAGATCAAGCTTCATGAGAATTCAAGGCACATGAGTGCAAATGCAATGTATATTTCATTTCTATGTTCTGGAACACATAACTCTAAACCAGTGTTTCTCAAGTTGAAAAGGTGTGGATTTCCATTCTCAGATTCCCCCCCCCCGCCAGCTAAGTTCACGAGGGAATTCTGGGAACTGAAGTCCACATCTCTTCAGGTTGCTAAAGTTGAGAAAGACTAGAATACTCTAAAATAAGACAGCCATAGCCTGGTTGTCTATCTAATTTTCTTTAATGAGTGGCAAAGAGCTAGGTCAGAGGTAGGCAACCTTGGCTCTTTTATGACTCGTGGACTTCAACTCCCAGAATTCCTGAGCCAGCATGGCTCAGTTTGGAAACCTCTCCCTTTCCCCTCAGCATGGCTGGCTCAGGAATTCTGGGAGTTGAAGTCCACGAGTCATGAGGGGGCCATAGTTCCCCCATACTGGCTCAGGAATTCTGGGAGTTGAAGTCCACGAGTCATAAAAGAGCCCAGGTTGCCTACCCCTGAGCTAGGTAAAAGTGAAAAAAAAAACCACAAAGGAAAAAAAATAGCTTCTTTTGGGGAAGCGAGAAATGAATCTTCTTCTCAACCTCCAAATCGTAGCCAGAATATATATATATCACTTCCTCTTCTTCTAACTAGGTATCTGATGCGCCCTGCATAAGGACTTTCAGCACACTTATTCAACTCAGCTCCTCATTCCTGGGAAACCTTCTAAATTTGTCTCAAGCCACATAATAAAAACCATTGTGCGGGCTTAACAAATCACACCTCATTGGAGAAGATTAGTACTTTCCTAAGCCGCTCCTATTGCACAATGGCAGTCAACGCCCTTGTCTTGCTTTTCAAAAGAGCTTGCGGGTTGTAAAAACACACTGATGGAGTTTAATGTGGCCAGCGGTCAAGAGATAAGACACCCTGGCAGTAAATTTAAAATTTGACTCGCAGAGCAAGCCTGTATGCATAAGAGTTCAGCTTGCGGCCCTGACATGCATACTTCATCTTATAGGAAGAGATGTTTAGTTGTTAGCTGTCAAATGAAATGAATAGGGGGTTTTTAAAAGGCAGTGTTGACTGGACCGCTCACAGCAGCAATAATGAATGAGATCTGGACTGTGCAAACATCTCAGTCAGTAATGAGAAATTACTTGTCGAGTCATATTAATGAGGGCGGAAGCGGTTACCTGCTTGGAGAGATTTCAGGTCTGGAAAAATGGGGTCAGAGCTAGACATAGCGGTGTGAGAATGTGCCTCAGAGGAAGAAAAGATGGGAGTCATCCCACTTCTTGCTTACTCTTTCGCTTGACCTTCCCAAACTGAATGACTTCCGATATAGTAGCCATATAGTAGTCATGGCTGGCTAGGAATTGGAGGTCCCCGTTTCTAGCTTGGTTCCCGATGGAGATGCTAAATTGTCTCTTGTCCTTAAGTGGGAACTCTTCTTCACTTCCATTGCTCAGTTGAGTTTGTTCCTTGGCATCGCTGATGGGAAGAGAACCCTTGTCTCTTGTCCTTAAATGGAAACTCTTCTTCACTTCCGTTGCTTAGTTGAGTTTGTTCCTTGGCATTGCTGATCAGAAGAGAACCCTCTTCCATATTTGAAGCTTACAGAGAACTGAGGCATAATTCTTTTTTTCCCCAAAAAAAGAGATTAATAGAATTAAGAACATCCGTTCCTTGAATTGTCCCAAGGATCAGTGTTGTGAAAGGAGGTAGACCTGTGGTTCTGAACACTTAAAGCGATGCAGTAGAGAACATGGATCTTCTGATGATGTTCTAGATGAGGCGGGCGGTCTCCAAACTTGGCAACTTTTAAGACTTGTGGACTTCAACTGTCAGAAATTCCCCAGGCAGCTGAGGAATTCTAGGAACTGAGATCCACAGGGCCATAGGATCTGAAAGATGAAATGGGATTTATTGTGGCACAGTTGTTCACTCAGCTGGTTTTTGCACCCTCCCTGTTCCTTCTCTCTGTCAGGAATATTGACCGGTCCCAACAGTGGCTTAAAATTGCAATTTTGGCTCTTAACGTTTTTGTGCAGACTGTCTCCAAATTGGTTTCAGTCCTCAGCTGCTTCTGGAGAATGGTGTGCAACGCGTTGCTCCAAGCTTGATGGAGCTCAAGAGCCGATGCTATTTGAACGGCTCTTGCCCTAGCAGGCCAGGAGGGCTCCAGCCTCAAAGGAGAACTCCTCATGAGTAAGCTGGTTTTACTGGTTTCTGGAAGTTTGCCTTGACCCTAGTGATTTAGTTTTGGAAATCTCCACTCTCTTGCTTCTGGGTGGTTTGTGGTTTTCTGCCTCTCGGCAGGGTGTTGAATCTGGATGTCTCCTCCCCCTCCCCTCCTATTCGCTCAGTCTCTGACTGTTTCTGCTAGACCAATAACGTCATCATGGATAACCTGCTGCATGTTAAAACCGATCCATACGTTCAAGTTTTAAAAAATGTATTTGATGTTTTTATACTTCATCCAT